AAGGTCCAGGCCTGGCTCTCACCAGGATGCTCTGCAGGACGTTGAGCAGGTCGTTCATCCCCGTCAGGTGGCTGACGTCCTTGAAGGCGGCGATGAAGACGGTGGGGAGGATGGCGAAGGAGCGGGTGAAGAGCACGCGGGCAAAGCGGGACCAGCGCAGCTGCAGGAACCCCTGGGGGGGGACAAAGGGGGGGACGCCCCGTCAGTGAACGATGCCGGGGGCCTGACGCTGCAGGGTCACTGGGGGGAGAGGCCCCTGGAGCCGGATCTGCCCCCGCAATGGCTGGACTGGCAACGTCCAGAGATCAAAAAACCAGGAGATTGGCTCCAAAACTCACAACATTTTTCAAAGCGATTCTACTGCGTTTTTCCGGGCAGGGTCTTGATGTTTGGACTCCCCCCCCCCCAGGGCGTGGGCGGGGGACAATCTCCTGCCTGTGCTGCAGGAGCTCTGACTCCCACCTCTGCCCATCTCCTGCCCAGCCATTAATCCTGTCCCCCATCAGTTCTCTCCCCACCCAACCCCCCTCAATTCAGCCCCCCCAGGTCAGCCCCCATCGCCGCCACCACCTCAGTTCAGCCCCCGCTAACCAATCGCCCACCACCACCCTCAGGTCACCCTCCCAGCACTCACTCCAGTGCTCAGAACCCACCATCCATACAGCCCCCCCCCCCCTCCGGGCACGATTAATTCCCGAGAGTCTGCAATGGGAGCGGAGGACACGCCCTGCAGGGTCGGGTCATCCAGCCCTGGAACGTCCTGTGCTGAATAGACACCCCCCGCCCCCTTGACCCTCCAGACCCAGGAGCTCAGCAGAGAAATAGTTTCCTCTCCCAAGGATCCTGCCTCCTGGTGGGGAGAGACGGCGCTGCCACATGGAGCAAAGCTGCACTTCAGTGGGTGAGAACGATGTCCACACTGGGTTAGTGAACACGTGAGCCGACCCGTGTTTCAGAGCATCCCCTCGTAGCCTGGGGATGGGACGGCCAACGTGAGCAAGGGTCTTGCTCGGGGACAGCAAGGCCTGGCCCAGCAAGGGGGGAGGAAACACTATGAAATGCAGAAGGAGCTGCGGGTCGGGAGTGAGGGGCACCGGCAGAGTTAGTGGGGGGAGCCCAGGGGGCTGTGGATTGGGATTATGAGGCACTGGCAGAGTTGGGGTGGGGGGAGCCCACGGCTGGGCTAGCGGGGAGGGGCTGCGGGATTGAAGGGCACCATCTGAGCTGTACACGAGGGGCCGTTATTCACGTGGTTCTGTCCTCTCCCCGGCTCTGACACTTCGTCTCCTCCTCCCTCAGAGCGTCCGAGTCGTTCACAAGTTTTAGGAAAAACAAACCGAACTCGGCTGTTAAATGTTTCCATTATTGGGAAAAGCGCTGGACCGGGTCCCTGATGCCCCGACACCAACCCCCACTGGCCCAGTGCAGCGGATGTGCCAGCTGATGTGTCTATAGAGCCAGGAAGGCTGGTTCTCTGAGCTGCTAGGACAGGGAGAAAGAGCTGTGTGCGGGGCTAGACACGCAAACCTTTGCTTGGGTTAGGTCTGTGCAGTCCCCCCAGCCAGCCCTAGATGTCCCCGTGCCGCTAGGCAGTACATTAGTCAATGAGTTTCAGGTAGGTTCAGCTCCCCTTGTGCAAAGATTACAACCTAGCGACAAGCTCCAGACACAGAGACCGCTTGAGTGGCTGCTGAAATGCAGCTGCCTCTGGGGTGGAGCGCAGCAGCAGCATGCAACAAGTCAGCCCGACAGGTTTGAAGAAGGGAGGTGACGGGTTGATGTCTCGAAGTGAAAGCGCAGTGGGAGTTTTAGGGAGGCGACCTGAGTTCTGCAGACTGGAATTTGCAGAAAGTTCCTGGGAATTGCAAGAGATCAGGGTCTTCCTTTCACCCTGCCTTTGCGCCTTAGCATTCCCGCCAGCCTACAGACACTTGCATCTGCTTGTCCTGGGGAAGGGGCTGAGGAGAAATGGAGCGAATTCCCGATAACCCCCCTGTGGTTTTTCCCCTGTGGAGCCGTCCCAGGCGCCCAGGCACCAAGCCGAGGAGTGTGGTATAAATGCCGAGATTAGGGGGAGAGAGACAGACCCCACTTCCAGTAAGCACTTCCAATCTGCTTCCTTTAGGGGACAGAGAGCGGGCAGGCATGGGGGCATTTACTCTAGCTCCACCCATGACCCCAAACTCCCAGCGTTCTGGTAAGAGGATCAGCAGTGACATAGTTAAATGGTGCGGCTGTTGGTGTCATTAGACTCCAGAGTCAACGCCCCACTGGGGAGAATGGGGCAGTTCACACCCGGCTCAGTGACATGGTTGGAAGCAGGCTCTCTGCAGACTCAGGCAGGCAGCAGGATCACAGCTGGAAGTTTCTCTTTGCAGCAATCGCTGGCTCCGCCCCCAGCCGGTACCAACCCAGCCCAGCCCCCGTCTCTCACCTCCATGACAAACTGCCCAGCGTAGGTCCCGGTCATGGTGGAACTCTGCCCCGCTGCCAGCATCCCGATGGCCCAGATATAGAGAGCAACGGAGCCGAAGTAACAGCCCAGAATGACGCCCTGAAGGGGGACAGAGCAGAGCCTGTCAGCAGGGCCCAAGGGGGGACCCCAAACCCTCCCTTGTGGGGTGGGGCCAGGATCTGCTCCCGGGCTCTCCCATGCCAGGCTGGGAGCTCGGGGCTCGGTCCGGCTCTCAGCGATGGCAGCGATGGGTGGGGGAAATAGAAGGGACCCCGATGGCTCCATCAGGGACCCGGGAGAGGATTGTGGGCACCTGAAGGCTGAGGCCGGTGCAGAAAAAGAGCCTGCCCTGGGAGACCAGGATGGGCAAACCCTCCCCCTCTCCCATGGGGCTGAGCCGCTGAGCCCCACGTGTCCCCATCCCGGCAGCCCAGCCCTAGCTCCCAGGGGGGGAGGGCAGGGGGGTGTCTGTGCCCCCGACTCACCCCTTGGTAGATGTCCACGGAGACCGTCTCGTTGTTCCTGGGGAAGATGGGGGCATACTGGCTGACGCTGCTGTTGGCGCAAACGTTGTACTGAAACACAGAGGGCGCGGGGCCCAGCCGTCAGGAGGCTGCCTGGCAAATGACCTCACTGGGGTGGGGGCAGGAGGGCACTGGCAGGGGG